TCATAAAAATCCAATTAGCTACCTGTATTTACAATCCCATGTGTATTATACATGTATATTAACTCAAAATTTTGAAACTTTAAATGTTTATATCTAATAAGCTAATAAAGTTATATTAAAAATTCAAATGCCATTTACTATTAAATTAAAAACTCAAACATTTTATTAAGTTAAAAATATGTGTTACCATTTTAAAAAACAAAGTTGACACCCTTACCAGACATAAGGGATGAACTTAAAAAGTATTACACAGTTAAAAATTCAAGAATAATGTGTAACTAAAGATAATAAAAAAAAAAATGTTTAAATTATTGAGTGGGTTATGATAAAAAAATCACACTGTATATATTTGTTTTGAGCCGAATGCGGACTGCGACGGCGTTTGTCAGTAAAATTATCATGATAAGTTACTGTGATTTCTTTATGCGCTTGCGAGATAGTCAGCTGTGTACTACTTCAGACCGGTTAATGGACGGCATTTGTGTGCACATTCACCCCGCTCCTTTCCTATCTTGAACGTCATTTGCACTGCTCACCGCATACATCGTCGCCTTATGATTTAACTTGTCTTAGTAATTTCCGGCACTGGGTATTAAGTTTTTTTTTTGACCCCTACTCCAAAGGCTAGCCGTGTTGTCGCCAACGGACCGCCGGGTCAAACGTCGGACGGGTTGTCGGAAATAAGCCATCATCGGAACTGGTCGTCGCTAATTTTCGTCCGTAGCGGTCGTAATTTTTGTTGTGTGCGTTACAACTGTTTTTTTTATATATATACATTTTTTTTTTACGTGAGTGTCCGCTATTCGTTTATTATGTAGTTTTTTTTTATTGGCGTCGACTGAACCTACCTCCAGTTTCTTTAGCCCTTCGGGGCTGGTAATGTATATTTAGTATTTAATGTTTTGAGCCAGATTATATTTTTTGTGCGCCGTGCCATAAGCACGCGTGGCGAATTTTTTTGTATTCTTTATAGTTTTTTTTGTGTAGGTGCCCCTATATTTTTTTTATTTAGGTCCCGCAACATCACAGGCGTTTACAAGACCACCTGTCATGTTATATCCATATTTTTTTGTGATTTTTTTTATAGGTTTTATATTACATTTTATGGGTGATATGTATATATTATTGGTACAATGTGGTGACGTAGTGCATTTTATTCCGGGGTGTCCCAACGTCTTGCAAGCTAAGTCTAACTGCCTAAAACCAGTCGCTTACTTGGGACGTATACCCGCCGTGCTTAGCGACAATGCCGCGATTAATAGCCGGCGGGTACCCGAAGACGTTCAACGTATTCTCTAATAATAAAAGTGTAGGTGTAACTATTTTTTTTCTGATCTATTTCTTTTTGAAAAAATATTGAGAGTCAACTTTTACCTTTTATGAGATACATATATTTCTTTAATTGTCTATAGATGAAATTTATTTCTGTATACTTTTAATTAAAAAAAATCTATTATTTTGTTTTTTTATTATAATAAACCTTATAATATATTTTTTACTTAATTCATTTGTAATTCAAAAAAGTTGCAGGAAATATTATACCAAAATTAAGGCTAGAATGTTGTCAAATAATAAAATGTGGCTGATAGAATTACCCAAAATGTTTTTTAATAATTTATACTTAAACTCTAGGATTATTAGTTATATAATAATAAATTCTAGTATTTGAGATAATAGCTAATTAGTGAAAATTAGATAATTGAGTAATTAATTGCTCATAAAATAAACAAATTTTCAAAAACAACTATTCAAAACTTTTATTAGCTATAGTTACAGAGGTATACAACAATACTTGAATTACACACATTTATTAAAAAAAAATTCGTTTTAAATTGCTTCAAAAGTTTTAAAATTATGTTATAGTTATAGTGGCCCTACAAATAGAGTTTTAAAAGGCCATAACAGCTCACCATTGACCAAGTAAAATTTTTTCAAAAACGCATATTAAAAATTCCTTAAAAATATTTAAATTAAGTTTATTGAGGGCTATATTTATAAGGTACTTGCAAAATTTAAAATCTATATCTCAAGTCGAAGTCAATTGTAATAAACCAAAAATAAAAATAAAAGAATAAAGAAAAGTAAATAATTTAATAACAAAAATAGTCAAGGATAGTGAATGTGTAAAAGAGATAAAATTATGGGATGGATACTTATCAAATGGTATTGGTATCTCAGAGTTGAAACTATTGAATTAATTATGCTAAATATGCTTTCAAATAATTTCTCATATAGTAGCTGGAAAACCTCGTGTAATTTTTTCTGTGATAGCTAAAATTACTGGGCCAGAATCACAATAATTTACACAATTATAATTTTTTCTATATATTTTCCATTGTGGATTTTTTTGTGTCCATTCTTTAACAAATTTTTTTATTGAAAAGTTAAATTGTCCTTGATATTTATTAGATATATCATAATTAATGATTTTATTATGTTTTAAATTAACTATTGTTAATAACCAATAATCATTTAAATGAAATGGAAATAACAACAATTTTAGTGTTGCTAAATTATCTGTATTTGTATTGTTTGATATTTTGGAATTCATATTGTTACGAAATAAAAATATTGAGTCAAATATTTTAATATCATGGGGTGATCTTGATTGTAGCATTTTCATATAAAAGTTGATTATATTGTGTGAGTAATGCATTTTAATGGTCCAATTGTAATACTAACAAAACTACACAAAATACGTGAATAAATTGAATGAATTTTGATTGAGAAATTGATTGAAGTTTTGAAGGTAAGTGTAAAATATAATTATAATGTTAAAAAAAATTATTTATGATTGTAGTATTATTAGAATTCAAAAAAAAAAAAATCATACAAGCAAAAAAATGTAAGGCTAAGCACTAAATACTAAATTTTAATTATTATAATTATAATTATTTATATAATAAAGGTAAAAATATTAACATATGTTGAAATAACTCTTAAAAGATTTATATGTGTGTGTTTTATACGTAATATTCAAGATAGTACTTATGTGACTATTGAGATATGTTTTTTTTTGTATGTTGTATTTTTATGTGTTTAATTCTGTATTGTACTATAAAGAAAAAAAAAACCCAGCACAGGGGGGTCGCGGCACGGTGGTGACGTGGTATAGATGGATCAAGATATCAAGATATATATAAAAGTGTCAGACTTTCCGGAACACTTTCAAAATTTAAGTTAAAAAAATTAATTTTTTTTAAAAAAGTTGTCATTTTAAATCCCCCGCCTGTGGGCAGGTAAAAAGTCAGATTTATAAAAAAAATATACCAAATGATAGGTAATGACATCATGCATCTACAAAAAAAAGAATTATATTGATTTGGTTATTTTTAAAAAAGTTATGGCAATTTTAAGTAAAAAAAATTGAAAAAATTTCGAAAATTAGCGATTTTTAAATTTGTAATTTTTTTGGAGGTTTCCCCCATTTACGGGGAACGGGGGAATTTTTTTCAATATTTGAGGGTAATGTCTTCGACTAGATACATTTTGTGATCTTTTGACGTATCATTGAAAGAAATCGGTTCGGTGAAAGCTGAGAAAAAGTGGTAAAAGACACAAAAATAAAAAATAAAAAAAAAAAACACATCTTAGTAAAACCATTACCTTCTCAGCTTCGCATCGAAGCTAAAAAGACACAATAAATATTAAAATCGTATGTTAATTTTATTATAACATTTGAATATTCAAGCACATAATTTTATTAAATCTTTAATCACTTAATTAATCGAAAAATAAATAGAATATTGAAAATTTTCTCTTAATATCTTTTAATACTAGGATTTTCTCAATTTACTAAACATACTTTTGATACATTAATGTTTATGAGCATGAAAAACACTCCATGAGTTTAAATTGAAAAAACCATGCAATTAAAGAAATCAAGGATAAAATTATCAATACAAAATTAATTTTTTTATTAATTAAATGGTGAATGATAAAATAAATTTCTATAAAACGTATATATTTTATAATAAACATTATAATATATACTAGGGTTGGAATTTCATTATTTATAAGTTTTGTGTTGTTAATATGTTATTGCAATAATAATTTATATTTATAATCGAAGTTTAAAACTGGTATCAAAAATAAAAGTGTAGTTTTTTTAGTAATCAAGAAATTTTTCATTTTTTATATGAAGGAAAATTATAATTCGAAAATTTGAGATCCCTGCTGAATATTTTTCATTCCAAATATTTTTTTTGTTTTATTACTCCGTAAACCAATTAAAAAATCATATAATACTTCCAAAATTTACACTTATAATAAATTCTTTAAGCGTAACATTAATTATGCTAATGTATAAATTACATTATGTAAAATAGATACTTGAGATTGTTTCTATGAACAGATTAATCAGTTATTGATAGCATACTTTAAAACATTTTATCATGTCGAAATTACTATGATTGGTTTATTAGAATTTATAGAAAACCTAAATGGAACAAATATTTGAAATTTAGAATCGTTTATTTTGTTTTCTAAACATTTTTTCGGATGAAATATTTTTTAAGAAAAAATATTCAATTATACTTATTAACATTCCAGAAAATATAAATTAATTTTATTTATTAATCATTGTTATTTATATTTTTAAGACATTCGAAGAAAAACACATTATTTTAAATTACAATGGAAAAGGTAACATTTTCGAATACAACGGTAAGTATAGAGCATGTTAATCCTTATGTCATCTGTTGAAACATATTAATGTCTAATCATGGCAAAAAAGAAATTCCATGTAACAACACTAAAAATTATTTTTTTTTATAGTCGAAGAAATTAATCAAAAACTAACGACATTTATGTGGGAAATAAACAACAGAATTCAATTCAAAATAATTAAAGTTCAAGTGAGTATATAAATATATCTATGTGTGTACTTAATTTGTAATTTCAAGTAAATACAGGACTCATTACGGAACAGGCAGAAATTTAAAAAAATAAAGTTATGAAATCATTATTATAACAGTATTAAATAAAAAATGCTGACTGTAATAAAAATTATTGTTTTTTTAATTTTAATATTTTTTTTTTGCTTTCTTTTTTTTATTGTAGACTAAAAGCAAAATTTGTACATTTTTCGTTATATTTTGTTATTTTTATTTCAAAAAGTTCTTTATGCACAATGACATTCGAGCATGTAATAATACTATCAATACTACGTAAATATTACTATCAATGAAATTCACTATATGCGCGTTTAAGTGAAACTAAAATTATAATTTATGGATATTACAATTAGATATTTATTTATAATACGCCTACTGCACAGACTGACTATTCGTGTAATTACATTTGTATTTGATGACCACATTAGTCATTTATTCAGAACTAAATTTTCTCTGATTCCACTAGTAGTAGACGGGTACGGGGTTAACAAAATCGATGACATTGTTATTTATATAAAAACTCATAAAGAAATATAATTTAGTTTTTAACATAAATTAAAAGTTTGCAGCCTTAAATGTTTTAAGATATATCCTAAAAAATATGCTATTAAAATGGGAAGGAAATTAAGTATGATTTTATAAAAAATTTAATTTTTTTTTAACAGACCAGTAAACTAGATAATAATACATCTTTAATAAATGATACGGTCTATGCTAAACATACCAGAATACAACTAAGAAATCTTGAGAATTTGTCTTTATGGAAATATGTCAAAGAGGAACTTATTCAATCGAATTCTTCTACACTACCCAATACAGCAATAAACGATTTCATTCTTAATTCAACAATGTACAAGAGTGATATTAAATACACTCTTGAAAAATCAAGAAGAATCATGTGTGATCGAACTTTTAAGTATGCGATTTTGCTAATGGTATATGCCTATGAGGCACTGAGAATTGATTATTGTACAAGACCATATTGGGATCAATTAATATATAAATTAAAAAAATTGAGTGATGCACGGATAAATTTAGATGAGAACAAAAATTTACAATTTGGATTGAAAGATATTAAACATGCAATTAATGAATGTGATGTAATGTGTATTTTTCAAAGATTAGTAAATGATTATGCAACTATTTTCCTAACTCCACAAGAAATGAAAATATTCAAATTTAAAGATAAATATTCATTTAAAAATATTAAAGATGAACAAATTCTATCGCAACATTTATTACATAAAATATTAATAGGATTTCCAAAACATCACTCAAACGACGAGTCATACCAATTTGAACTTATACCACCATATTTATGTGAAATAGAAGAAAAATTACAGCAAATTTTTAAGTTAATTGATGCAGAATTTGAAAATATTTACAAAATAGATTTGTAATATTGGATAACTTTTAGTATGGTAGATATTTATTTTTGAAAAATATTTAAAGTCATTCAATTACACTTGTAATCAATAAATTATCCAACCATTTAAAATTAATAAAAGACAAAAATAATAAATGTTTAGATATAAAATTATTTATACATATGATACTCGTAAGGTATCCCCACTTCATAGTGTACTAAATCAAAAAATACTCCTCCTACTAGTGCTCTTCTTAAAGGAAACCACACAGCAAACTACCGTGGCTGTTCAGTACATAATAACTTACAACGGTCAAATCTCAAATTTAACAATCTTCTTAAAAATATAAAAACTATTGTAAAAAATCAGGAGTTGCGATCGAGTGTTGATTGGACTCACTCAACCCCTCCTAACATCTCAGACAATAAAATCTTTTCTAATCTTACTTAAAAGACCCAAAACCATAGTTTTTCAAGTAAAATTGTTTTTCAAATAAATTCACCAGAAAAATCATCTAGCAACCAAATATCCTCTTTCTTAGTAGAATTCAAACAACTCATTTACCCCTTAATTTAATTACTTACCACTGTAATTAACAAATTAATCCCAAATAATGACAAATAAACGCTAACGGAATGCTAACGGTCTTAAACAAAAATAATCCGAATTTTTAAACTTTCTAATAGATAATCAAATTGATATAGCTCTAGTCACTGAAACACACTTCACAGATAACTCCAAACATTTTTTTCTTGGTTTCAATAATTACAAAACAAACCAAACTTGTTAAAGGATTGAATAGGATTGAGGATGTGATAACTGCTATTCTAGTCATTATTTTTATTCATAATTAAGTCACCGTTGTTACCTGTTTCACACACCCTCTTGTTTCCTGTAGACAACCTTTCCGGCTTCAAGTAAGGTCGTGTGTGAGTAGACAATCCTATTCAAATATACAGTCCACTTATTCCCTATAAAGAGTTTACAGGTGCCGGAGTAAGCGGCATAATATTTGCAGCCCCCGCCATAACATCAAGATAAAATGAATTTTTAGTTAAGACTGTGCAATTTATTATTATATAAAATAAAACAAGTATATATACATAAATAATGATTTTGCATTAAAAATGATTATTTTACGAAAAAATGGGATGTAATATACTTAATAAATCCCACAATATATATATATATATATATTTTATAGAAAATTGCTATAATAATTCGTTTGATTTTTATAGCAAGAAAAATCAAATTCAATAAACAAGTGCGCTGTAATAAGAAGAGTTTACCATCTTATATGATAATTTATAAATACATTTTAGCTTCAATGCGAAGCTGAGAAGGTATTGGTTTTACTAAGATGTGTTTTTTTTTTTTTTTTCGTGTC